CGCCCTCCTTGATGTGCGTGCCTGGAGCGGGGCTGCAGCGTCTAGGGCAGAGGTGAGGGTAGCGTTATATGAGGAGATATCCAGAGAGGGACAGAAGAGGGTAGGGATGGATGAGAGTTCAGAATGGATATCAGTCCAGAACTGCTGGAGGTCAAGAGAATTCGCATTCCTCCTGTGTTGAGGGGGGTTAGGTTGAGGATATTGGGTGTGGGGGCACTCAAGAACAAATTATAGGAGTTGGTGGTCTGATAGAGGAAATGGAGTATTACAGAGATTGGAGACTGAGCATGCATTTAAAAAAAATAATATCTAGGGTATTGCCAGCTACATGTGTGGGAGAATTAGCCCATTGCTATAGCCCAAAGAAGGAGGTAATTGAAATAAGTTTTGAGGCTACTGAGGACAAGAGTGGGTTAATGGGGATGTTGAAATACCCGAGAATTAGGGATGGGATATTGCTTGAAAGGAAGTAAGGAAGCCAGGCAGCAAAATGGTCAAGGAAGAGACGACCATGGAATGTTTGCAGATATGAGTTTGAATAAGCAAATTTAGTGAATTTCAAATGAGGAGAAAGAGAGGGAAGGGGGATAGAGGTTTGAAGGAGCAGTGAGGTGAAAGCAGAAACCTTAGACCACCTTACAGGGGTAGCTGTGTCAGAAGGAGAGAGCCAAGTTTCAGTTAAAGCAAGTAAGTTAAGGGAGCGTGAGATGAATAAGTCATGGATAGAATTAGATTTAGTTATGTTGCACACAGCGCATGCATTCCAGAGGGCAGAATGGAAGGAGGACTAAAAAGGAGAGATAAAACAACCTTGGCACACCAAGCTGACTCCATACCTCCAAAATTGCTCCAGAACTGCTGAACGCTGTTGGAGAAAGTCTCACTGTGTGTCTGACTTTCTCCACTATAAATTTATGCTGCGCTCATACAGCTTAGCTCTTTCCTCTGCAAAAGTAAATTACTTCAATACCTTCATAACCACACTCTCCTGTGAACCAAAACGACTATTTCACACATTTAACTCTCTTCTTCGCCCTATTGTTCCTCATCCACCTACTAACTTGACCGCCTCAGACTTTGCAACTCACTTCACTGACAAGATCTCTACAATCAGGGAAGAGATCTCTCATCTTTCTTCTTCCCCTTACAATACTTCCCCTAACCTCACTCCCTCTGCTGTTCTATGTTCATTCGCACCCGCTACAGCGGAAGAGATTTCTGCACTGCCCCAGTCCTCCCGTCCCACCATCTGCTCCCTAGATCCAATTCCCTCACATCACATCCATACTCTGTCTTCTTCTCTTTCTCTACATCAGTGCCGTACTAAGGGGGGGGCGGAGGGGGCGCTCCACCCCGGGTGCCACTGCGTGGGGGATGCCATGACCCTGGTGTGGGGGCTGTGTGAGCTGTGGCCGCACAGTGCCCCATGGTAGTTAGGGTGCCGTGCGGCCAAAACAGCTCACACACGCAAGGAGCAGCTGAACTGTCCGCACGGGGCTAAGCAGAATCAGGGCGGAGCCAAATCAGCAGCAGGGGCGGGGCTTAATACAGCCCTTACCCGCTACTGTTACTGCTGCACATGGAGGTGCAGCAAGAAGAAATCACTGCCTTTCCACCTAACAGGTTTCAGGAGGACTCCAGTGAATCCACTCCTCCTCCAGCTCCTGTCTGTAAGTAATAGTGTGTGTGTGACTGTGTCTGTAAAACTGTCTTCCTGTAACTGTATTTGTTTGTGTGTGTGTGTCTGCATGCCTGTAACTGTGTTTGTGTGTGTGTGTCACCATGCCTGTAACTGTGTTTGTGTGTGTGTGTGTGTGTGTGTGTGACTGTATGCCTGTAACTGTATGTGTGTGTGTCTGTCTGCCTGTAACTGTGTGTGTGTCTGTGTGTGTGACTGCATGCCTGTAACTGTGTATGTGTGTGTGTGTGTGTTTGACTGCATGCCTGTAATTGTGTGTATGTGACTGTCTGCCTGTAACTGTGTATGTGTGTGTGTGTGACTGCATGCCTGTAACGGTGTGCATGTGTGTGTGTGCCTGTGTGATGTTGCCTGTAACTGTGTGTGTGACTGTAACTGTGTATGTGTGTGAGACTCTCTGCCTGTGACTGTGTGTGTGTGTGTGACTGTATATGTGACTGTCTGCCAATAACTGTGTGTGTGACTGCCTGGCTATGACTGTGTGTGACTACCTGTAACTGACTGTGTGTAACTGTCTGTGTGTGACTGTGTGACTGTCTGCATGTGACTATGTATGTGTGACTGTCTGCCTGTGACTGTTTGATGTTACCTGTAACCGTGTGAGATTATCTGTCTGTGACTGTGTGCATGTGACTGTCTGCTGCTGCCTTTTACTGTGTGTGTGTGACTGTCTTCCTGTGAGCGTGTGTGTGTGAATGTATATGTGATTGTCTGCCTGTAACTGTGTGCATGACTGTCTCTGACTGTATGTGTGACTGTCTGCCTGTAACTGTGTGTGTGACTGTCTGCCTGTAAATGTGTGTGTGGGGCTGCAGGGATTTTGTAGAAGGGGGCAGGGGTTATGTATTGGGACAGGAGTCTTTATAAGGGGATTTCTAGATGGGAGTTGCAGGGGTTTTGTAGACGGGGAAGTACAGGATTTGTAGATGGGGCGAGACAGGGTCTTTTGTAGAAGGGGGCTGACAGCGGTTTTGCAAAGTTTCCAAAAAAAAAAAGGAAAACATTTAAAAAATGTTACAGGTTTTTCTTTTTGGGGGGGAGAGGGTGCCAAACCCAGGATCCGCCCCGGGTGCCAAATGCTCTAGGTACACCCCTGTCTACATCTCACTAAAATTCTCAATCTCTCTCTCCTCTGTCATATTTCCATCGCCCTTCAACCATGCAACTGTAACCCCAATTCTAAAGAAGCCCAACCTTGACCCTAACTCCCTTTCCAACTACCGTCCTATCTCGCTACTTTGCGTCCAAGATCCTTGAAGAGTTGTGTATGTGAGATTTTATAACATGACAGGAGGCTTCATATTTGCTTAAGTCTCTCTTTACTTGAACTCCACAGCAGCAAAACACTAGAGAGTAAACAACCAATCAGAAAACAGTAAGGAGACCCAATATAAGTCCCTTCCCAACATTCCATTTCCTCTTTCTTTGCTGCTCCGCATCAGTACAGGTCAGAGTACCACTGCCTCCTGCTATTATTAGTGGAGGGCTTTGGGATTTTATATTTTATATGCCTTATTGTTATTTATGTTATATATTTGGCTGGGGACTGTGTGCTGTCAGGGATTCTGGTTTACCCCTCTGCTAGGGGTTTATGTAGCCCCCCTTTTTTTCCCTCCCTTGTGGCTTTTCCCTTCTCCCTGTCCCCTCCTGTTTTCCCCGTTTCTTCCCCCTGCGGGAATTCTCTATTGGCTCGGGGGCCTTGTGGGGCTGGCCGTTTGCCGCCTCCCCAACCCTCCCGAACCCTCGGGACTGCGGAGTACGTCTCCAGCGGTCCCGTGTCTTTCTCACTCCCTCCGGTCGCAGGGTGCTCACCTGCGAGCGCTCTACCCACCGGAGCTTTCTCCCACGTGGCCGCTGGTCGCGGCTAGAGCACCCGCGGACCGTGTGTATCCGCCGAGTGGAGGAGGGAACACTACACTCACGCTCCCTCCCCCACTCGTTTCGTGCATTCTCTGTGCGGCATTCTTCAGGGGGTTCCCCAGCCGTTTAGACCGCGGTCTGGGAACCCCCCCTCTCTCCTCCTGCAGGAAGGAATCTCTTAAAGGGCTAGAGGTTTTTACCTCAGCCTCCCCTTCCCCCCCTTTATATATCCTAGTTTCTGTGCCACTACTTGTGCCCTGACTAGGGTTTATGTAGCTGGTACCCAAGTATTCAGATGTCATACTGTATTAGAGTTGTGGGGTGGGGGCCTTTTCAGTGTATTCTATGCCTGCTTTTTCTTTTTACATTTGGTTCTCCATCTAATGACATATATGCGCTCTGTGCCCATAAGATTGGCCTGCTTTGCCTGTGCCCATAAGATTGGCCTGCTTTGTCTGTGCCCATAAGATTGGACTGCTTTGGCTGTGCCCATAAGATTGGCCTGCTTTGTCTGTGCCCATAACATTGGCCTGCTTTGTCTGTGCCCATAAGATTGGCCTGCGTTGTCTGTGCCCATAAGATTGGCCTGCCTTGCCTGTGCCCAGGGCCGGACTGGGAGAAAAATTCGGCCCGGGCATTTTTTTAACACAGCGGCCCACTAAAAAGGGGGCGGGGCATAGGAGGTGTGTTTTGTCATCACCAATGACAAACACGCCTCCTCTCAAAGTGAGCATGTTGGTTCAATGCTCTTCCAGGGCAGACCATGCGCAGAGCTCTGCTGAAGAGCTCTAGCATGAGAAAAAAGTCCTGTATTTGTTCTGCACAGTGCAAGCAAATTTAATAACATGCTTGCACTGTCTTTCCTTGCAACTTGTCTCTGGTGTCTCTATAAATGGAGACAAAAGGCCAGGAAAGAGTATTGTGCATGTGTTTGGAGCCTGCTTGTGGTATTGCGTGTGTGTAGAGTGAGCTGGTCGTATTGTGTAATATGGTCGGTTTTAGTCGTGTTGTGTTTGTGGTGTAATGTGATGCATATGTGGCTCAGGGACCCCCTCCCGCCCGGCTCTGGAAAGGGGTTAAAACTTACCTTTTTCCAGCGCCGGGCGGGGAGCTCTCCTCCTCCGATCCGCCCCGTCGGCTGAATGCGCACGCGCAGCAAGAGCTGCGCTCGCATTCAGCCGGTCGCATAGGAAAGCATTTATAATGCTTTCCTATGGACGCTTGCGTGCAAAGCACGCAAGTGCCTCTAGCGGCGGTCAATGAGACAGCTGCTAGAGGCTTTGGGGGAAGGCTTAACCCATTGTTAAACATAGCAGTTTTTCTGAAACTGCTATGTTTATAAAACAATGGGTTAACCCTAGAAGGACCTGGCACCAAGACCACTTCATTAAGCTGAAGTGTTCTGGGTGGCTAGAGTGGTCCTTTAAGAGTGTTGTGTGTGTGTGTGTGTGTGTGTGTGTGTGTGTGTGTGTGTGTATATATATATATATATATACACACACACACACACACACATATATATATTTGGAAGTATTGTGTATGTGTGTGGTGCAGTGTGTTGGGGTGGTTCTGTGTGTATGTGAGGGGTGCAGTATGTGTGTGTGTGAGGGTGCGGTGTGAGTGATGGGTGTGAGAGTGCCGTGTGAGAGTGCCCTGTGTGAGATGGGTGTGAGAGTGCTGTGTGAGAGAGTGCTGTGTGTGTGTGAGAGTGCTGTGAGTGTGATGGGTGTGAGAGAATGCTGTGTGTGTGTGAGAGTGCTCTGTGAGAGTGCTGTGAGAGAGTGCTGTGTGAGAGAGTGCTGTGTGTGTGAGAGTGCTCTGTGAGAGAGTGCTGTGTGTGTGAGAGTGCTCTGTGAGAGAGTGCTGTGTGTGTGAAAGTGCTGTGAGTGTGATGGGTGTGAGAGTGCTCTGTGAGAGTGCTGTGTGTGATGGGTGTGAGAGTGCTGTGTGAGAGAGTGCTGTGTGTGTGTGAGAGTGCTCTGTGAGAGAGTGCTGTGTGTGTGAAAGTGGTGTGAGTGTGATGGGTGTGAGAGTGCTGTGTGAGAGAGTGCTCTGTGAGAGAGTGCTGTGTGTTAAAGTGCTGTGTGAGAGAGTTCTGTGTGTGTGTGAAAGTGCTGTGTGAGAGAGTGCTGTGTGTGTGTGAGAGTGCTCTGTGAGAGAGTGCTGTGTGTGAAAGTGCTGTGTGAGAGAGTGCTGTGTGAGAGTGCTGTGTGTGATGGGTGTGAGAGTGCTGTATAAATGTTATTGTGTGTGTGTGTAGGGGGGGGTAAATAAAAAAATAAAATAAAAAAAAACAGGCATTATGTCCCCCCTCCCTTCTTACCTTTAGCCTGGGAGGGGGGGGACCGGCACGCTGGCAGGCAGGGTGGCGGTGTTCCCTGGTGGTCCTCGTGGGTGAGTGAACTCTAGCCAGTGAGGCTAGAGTTCACTCTCGCGAGATCCGGTCGTTGCCATGGCAACGCGCCAGATCTCGCGAGAGGAACCCGGTGGAGCTGAAAGTTAGAGCTCCGCCGGGTCCTCTCTCCAGCCTGGCTCCCTCTCTGCCCGCCGGCGGCCGCATGTGGGCCGGTCAGGGAGATCCTTGATCTCCCCACCGGCCCGTCGTGGCAAACAGCGGGGCCGGCGCTGGGAGAGTGCCGGCCCTGCATAGACCGGCATGGGAGATCCTGGGACCTCCCCTGCCGGCCTCGGCCCCACGGCCACCGCGGCCCACCGGGCATTTGCCCGGTGTGCCCGATGGCCAGTCCGGGCCTGCCTGTGCCCATAAGATTGATTGGCCTCATCTGCACCCATATATATTTGGCACCTAGACCCCTACGGCTGCTGTCCTAAGATATTATGCAGAGGTCTTTCTACTGGGGTCATCTATAACACTGGTGTCAGTCTACATTACTCCCGTATATCCGGGTGACACGTGTCTTTTCTACCCCCATCTGCTTCCACATCCATAGCAGCTTCTGATTTGATAATCTCTCAACGTTAGAGTAACTTTCAAAAGCAAACTTTGCAAAGGCTTGGCGTGTAGCTATACGTCCAATTCCTTCATGAGCTGAATTTTCCAGGTGCTCAACCTCTTCAAGACCTGGTTCTGTCACCAGCTCATCCTTCACTGGAACAAGTCCCTCCACGAAGGGCTCCACAACATCCTCCATCTGTTCTGCGAATCCCTGGGAACCTGCCTTGCTCCCTATGGGGTTGTCCAGAGACGAAGTCATGGCCTCTCGCTGGGTCATTACAGCCCTGGTATCAAACAGCCGGTCAGGCATTCCGAGTCCCGCCTTTAATTCCATGTCATCAGTGTCACCATCACTGCCTCTTGGCAATTCCGCTTTTTCCTTTAGCTTTGCTGGACTCTTTACTAACTTTTTTTCTTTTTGTTCCTTTGAGGATCCAGCTGGCTTTTCACCCTCTTTCATTTTATCACTTCTTTCAGGCTCAATTTAATCCTTCTTGCCTTTTAATTCCTGTTCTTTCTCTCCTGTGTGTTTCTCAACAGCACACTTTGCTGCCTCCATGCTTTTCAGCTTGCTGAAGACTTCTTCTACTGCCTCTGTCATCTTATGCAGGATGTCAGTAGCTTGGTTATGGGGTCCCTTGTCCCCACGCTCCCTGCAGGGGGCAATCTGCAAAACCTCAGTAAGGGCAGCTCTATGCTCCTGCTGAGCGTCCCTCAGGTTCTTAACCTGTGCAGCCAGGAAACTGTTTGTGCCTTGTTGTTTAGCCGTTGCCTGTACCACAGCTCTCAGCAGGTCCTCCATTATAGCACCAAGCAGGTAACAGTCTTAAAGGTACAGTGCTACTTGTTTGTGTAACAGGTCTGCAAAAATAAAAGTCCTCAAGCAGACTACCAAATGACTGGCACACCCACAGACCCTCAATGTGCTACTGTGCCCGCATTCTCCACCATATTGTGATCCTTGTTTGCAGGTAGCACGGCCCTCTAGGGTAAAAACATGCACAGTCCTTGTAATTGCATATACTCAGGCACTTTATTTGCAAATCCACACAGGATACAGCAGAAAATGAAAAACAAAAGTAACAGAAAACCCTATAAACAAACACCTAGCTCGTCTGAGCACTAACTGACATTAGTTCCCTATCTCTCAGGGTTAAACTAAACACAATATTGCACCAACCTTATTAGTTAGCAACACTCTGCTGCCTAGCCTGTTGCATTCCTTTCTGCACTCCCAGTGCTCCAAGCCAGCCTTGCCCTGACTGCTTTGCTTTCTGCACTCCCAGTGCTCCAAGCCAGCCTTGCCTGACTGCTTTCCTTTCTGCACTCCCAGTGCTCCAAGCCAGTCTTGCCCTGACTGCTTCCTTTCTGCACTCCAAGTGCCTAGTCTCCTTGACTATCTGGAGAGAACAGCCTCTCTCTCCTACCTGCTTCCTGGGAGGAAGCCAGCAATCCCTCTCCTTTTCCTGCCTAGCCGGGAGGGGTTTATTCCCACTGCAATAGCTCATTAACTGCAGCTGAGCAGTGGGTTGGAGACAGTCCAAAAAACCCTGGCCTGGATCTATGTCTCCCCAGAAAACCACTAAACTGTGGAGTGGAGCATTGGCCCACCCTTCTCTCCAAATGCTCCACCCCAGGGGCCCATAACTAAACAATGTGTTGTGTTGTGCAAAACACAAACTACACATACTCCCCCTGGGGTTAAAAGGCCTATCTGCCTTCACTTTATCACAATATATATATATATATATATATATATATATATTCTAAATCCCTCTTAGTCTTACATGGATACATATGGCATCCTTCACAGTTGTCACATGTTAAGATCCATTCAACTATTTGCCTGTTTTAATCCTCCAGTGTTGGTGTTTAACTATTGATGCCAAAATAAACTTCAAATTAGGAGGCTCTAGAAAAGATAATGTTGAATTATCACAGAATCTTATAAATTCTGGATCCCCTGTCAGAATATCCCAAAGGTTTTTTTTGTTTTTTTTAATAATGGGTATGACAGTATTATATTGATTTCTGAATTTGGTGATGAAGGCTGGTCTATTCCGATCCATAACAGATCTCTTTAGAACCTTTCTCACCAAGGTCTGAGACGTAGGTAAAGTCTGTTCTTTATCCATGGCTGTATCTAACAAATCCACACTATTTCCTTTTGTCAAAAAATAATGTTTTATCTCCAGCATTTGGGATTTACAAAACTGGGTCTCAGAGCAGTTACATGCTATTTTCCTAAATTGGTTATATGGAATATTGTTGAGCCGTATTTTCTCATGGAGACTGTGAGCAGGTATGAAACTGTTACAATCCACCGTTTTTCTAAAGATTTTCGTATGTAGGTAAGAGTGTCAGGACTTCCCTTCCAAAAACAAATTGCAATTGTCAATGTAACTTGTTTGTTCAGTAAAGTATCTGTTTTTATGGAAAGCACTATGGTATTCTGCAGATTATTTAATATTTGCCCAAGTGGATCATCATTATAATGACACTTTTGGGACTTATAGTGGCCATTTTTATTTATTTCCTATTATTTTTGCTATTATAGCTTTTGTTATTGTGATTTATAGCTCTGGTCTATACCATGGTCTAAGATGATTTGTTCATTCTGTTCTTTGCTGTAGTCTGTTTATTTATTATTATTATTATTTAATTTATATAGCGCCACCAGATTCCGTAGCGCTGTACAATGGGTGGACTAACAGACTGGACGTACAGGAACAGAGAGGTGGAGGGCCCTGCTCAATGAGCTTACATTTATTTATGAGAGTTTGTGGTCACTCTTTAGACCTTTGAACTTATTTTTTATTTACTTTTATTGTTTTTATTTGTACTGAATATTTTTAACTTTATATTTGATTCCCCCCATCTTAAATATTAAGATAATATAATACACATTAGAACAGTTGTCAATACTTAGAATAAATAAATAAGACTTATAAGGACTTTCCCGTGCTATGTCAACTATTACATTGCGTGGGAGAGTTCTGATTGGTTAGTTAGTAAGTTCAAGAGTGTTCTGACTTGAGAAAGAATCACTGACCATGGCTGATCTGTCCACCCACTATTATTTTTTCATTGTCCTCCATCCAATACCCATGGGTGGTGACAATGGGGACCATGAGATCAGGCCTTTTTAGTTTTAGAAGATATGGTTGGTTCAGGCAAAATGCCTTCATTATAGTCTGATTGATCCCCAAAAGATTTTTATTATTGATTTATTTTTGTTTTACTTTTTTAATTTGCCAGCTGGCTAGAAAGTGCTGACCAGCCTCCACATAATTAATCGTTGCGCCAACTAGGGATATTTAATTATTTGTCTGCTGGTTGTTTTCTGGGTCTGGATTTGAAGCCTCTGAGCATAAATTTGATTCATTTGGTGCAAATTTCAGCCATCTGGAGGCATTTGGTCTGTCTGAAATTGGGAACAAATTCAGGCCTGTTTGGGTCTTCATCTCCAAAACCCGGAGATCATTAAATTAAATAGCTTAAACAATGTCTGGATTTTGCAGTACGATAAATACCGTATGCAAAATGATTTTGCCATATACA